AAAAAATATGTCAAGTCAGTGTGGAGGTCATACTAATGCTTGCAAACACCAACACAACCTTGCAAACGCCAATACAACCTTGCAACATAATTCTTCAAAAACCAACCAGGTTATCTTATTTGCAAGCATGAATATTGACCTTAACATTTGACTTGTAGATGGAAATCATGGGTTTGGAAAAAATGTGAGGAAGTATGTAAAGTTAGTGTGGAGGTTGTACTAGTGTTTGTGAACAGTAATATGACCACAGTGAACCAGTCTTTTTTTTCCCTATACAAGTAGCAGGACCTGAGATGCTAGGGGATGACTGCTTTTGCTGGAAGTTTGGAAATCCTACTACAACCATGGGGGACTTTGGCATCAACATGGGGTCTCACACCAACCCAAACCAGTGGGTTTATTTAACCTATAATTTACTGGAGTTTTCTGGAGAATGTGACATTTGAATTGTGATACAAAGAGGACTTGGTTATTTTCTAACATTCTGCAGCATGCATCCATGAAGCGGAAACAGCTGGATTCAAGTCTGCAGCCGACCCCATTCAAACAGACACCACATTGAGTATCGCTGTCACTCAAACGTAAAGTAAACTTGCTGAGTATTAGTGGTGTTGTCATCCTGTGGAAAGGTGTTAAATATTGATACAAGGAATTAGATTGAAACTAACCCAGTCATGTGTTAGAATGCGGGGATTCGGACAACTCCGGAATGGAATCGGAGACTTATCATGGAAGGACCTTGGCCTCAGCGACTCATGCGGAGCGCTGTGCCATTGCTGGTTGTCCTAGGGGTCCCTAATTTCGGATCTAGCAGAGGGAAAGTCTCTTGGGGGGAATTCAAGTTGATTTCGGACTGAGGTTACAAGTTACTAGGTACATTGTATATAAGGAGGGGTCCGGAATCAAAAGGAACAAGGGTAGGACGAAAGGAGACAAAGGGAGATGGAAAGAGGAACAACACCGAGGGTCAAGTGTTTGACTCAATGGTGTTTCCCAAAGGAGGAATGAAGGGCCAAGGCCCAAGGAGGAAGGAAGGAGGTTGGGAGTGGGGAATGGCTAGCTGACTGAATAGAAAGGAAGCAGCAGCCCAAATAGGAATGAGGGAGAATAGCGGAATTGAAATGGACAATGCAATAGTTGCAAGGTCCGGAATAAGTCCGGAAAGTCCGAACTCGGAGGTTAAACTCCGGAATATTGGCAAAGGTAATTAAATGGAATGAGCTAACCAATACAATGGGTATAAGCGGAGGTGGGGTCAAAGTCCGAGGTCGGAGCTAAGACCGGAGGTTCCGGAGACGGAGACGCCAATGGGATTCCGGAGCGGAGGTCCGGAGTCAGGGACATAGGTGTTGTGTACTCGTCTGGAAGGTGTCGAGGTTGGGGTCGGACCCGGAATGTTCCGGAGTCGGACCGAAGGTGGTGTCCGAGCCGGAGGTGGGATAACCTCTTGGGAGTCGGCAAGGAGAAGGTGACGGAAGGGAAGTAGGGCTCCGGAAGTCGGAGTTCGGAGTTCTGGGAGCCCGGAGCGGAGGTCGGGATTGTATGGATATGACATCATGGAGGAGACTGAGGATGAGTGGTAAGCCCTCGTATTGTGGTCCAATTTCATATTCCTCTGAAATCCTCTGAGTACTGATAGGTAATGGTGTGAGGACAGTATGAAATAGGGATAACTCCCTCGCACCTATGTTGATTACAATGAGATGCAGCGGACATGATGGCTTGAGGAATGGCTGCTCACATGTTGTCATGCTTCACCTCAAATATGTCTGAGGTCAGGGGTCCCTTGATCATGGTTGGGTTTCCAAGGGCAGTTGTTGGATCTCCAAGCAAATAATCTGCACAACAGAAGTCAAAATATACTAGCACGGAAGATTGTATCTTCCTACCAGTGTATCAACCAGGTAGTTTTGTCATGAGGAAGTCTACCACCCCACCAAAGGAGCGATTGCCAGGAAACAAGGTCTTGGGAATAGGATAGGGGTACCGAAGTTCACGGTGAACCGGTTCGAACTGTCATATCCATCCCCAGCCATTGACTTCCGATCCCTCCGATCCCTCTGGTCTACTTCCACTCCTTCTTCACTAACCTCGGAGCTCCCGTATTCTGCAATCCCCTCGGTACCCCTCGATGGTCATCACCCCCTCCTTTCAATTTATTACCTATGCCTCCCTAAGTACGGAGCCCTGAAGGCTTCCGGACAGCTCCGACGTCCGCTAGCGCACTGCTGCCTCCGCTGGACAATACACTTGCTTGCCCTGCAAAGCCCACCTTCAGGCCTATCCCTCCTTTCCGTTTCTGGGTTATCGCCTGCCTTTCTGTTAACCCCGTAACGCGACTTGTCGGTAATATTCAATCGGCTAATGTCTAACCCCATTAGCTCCGCTCCGCTCGGCTCCGCCATTTGCGGACCCGCCCTCGCTGTAACTATATATACTCAACTTGTACATAGGTTACACTTCAGTAATAAAATCGACTAGAGTTTACCCCCTTCAGTTCTGGTGCCAGTTTAGTAAGTTAGGGCACGGACATGTTACTTGGCACAGCGCTCCTGGCACAAGTCGCTGAGGCCGAAGCCCTCCGCCACGGAGACACTCCTTCGTCTCGACCAGGTCTCTGACACGAACCGTGAATGAACCATGAACTGAACCAGGATGAACCAGAACCGCGGTTCAGTTCAGCCTTGGTTCAGAGATGGTTTGGTTCAGGTTCTCTATGATGTTGGAATTTTGTGAACCAGGTTCAAACTGAACTGAACCACCGAACCGTTTCATAAATCAGGTGTTGACCTGACCCCATCACATCATGACTGGATGCATTTCAGAGAGGAAAATGTATTGCTGTCCCACATCTTGTATGCATATATAATTAAATATAATGAAGCAGACTAGTTTCAGTCAACAGAGAGAACATGGATGTCTGAGAAAAAACAAATAGAATATTTACTCTCATAAACGTCTTTACTGTCTTGCCACCATGCTGTAGGTGGGATAATTGCCCATGCACAGAGCTGGCTCAGATACCCACTTCCAACATTCAGAAATCTACTTTTATTCATGTGATGACTCGGTACGGAATTGGTATCTAAAAATAGTGCTAATTTGTACGATTCCGACGATATCAAGAACATCCTAATCGGTGGAGATTTGACGGAGTTCTAGGTTAGGCACGGCAGGTCATGAGTATGTGCGGGCGTGGGAATCTCAATCGGCAACCCAGAATTCCAGCCTCACTCGTTCCCACAGCGTCTAATAAATTGGTAAAAATGCTTATCGGTTGCATGAGTTATCTCCGGCTGCATTTCCAATTTTGGCTTTTAATTCCGCAAACCCATTGAGAAATCGCTTATTTTCTTATATTTTCATATTTTGCCATCATTTCAGTTATTGATTGATATTCTTTTATTGTTACTGTTACCCTTTTTATTATTTCGCCTAATAAGGTACCCAGGTGCCATATGGTACCAATATTCCCATCAATTATTCTAAAAATAATTATTTCTTATAATTGTCATATCCATCCCTGGCCATCGACTTCTGGTCCCTCCGATCCCTCCGATCCCTCCGATCTAACTCCGCTCCTCCCTCACTAACCTCAGAGCCCCCATATTCCACAATCCTCTCGGTACCCCTCGATGGTTACCACCCCCTCATTTCAATTTATTACCTACACCTCCCTAAGTACGGAGCCCCGAAGACTTCCGGACAGCTCCGACGTCTGCTAGCGCACCCCCGCCTCCGCTGGGCAATACACTCACCTGCCCTGCAGAGCCCACCTTCGGGCCTATCCCTCCTTTCCGTTTCTGGGTTATCGCCTGCCTTTCTGCTAACCCTGCGAACCGACTCGTCGGTAATATTCAGTCGGCTAATGTTTAAACCCCGTTAGCTCTGCTCCGTTCGGCTCCGCCAATTGCGGACCCATCTCTGCTGTAACCATATATATATCCCACTTGTACATAGGTTACACCCCAGTAGTAAAATCAACTAGAGTTACCCCCCCTAGGTTCTAATTGCCAGTCAGTAAGTTAGGGCACGGACGTGTCACTAGGCACAGCGCTCTTGGCAGAAGTCGCTGAGGCCGAAGCCCTCCGCTACGGAGACATTCCTTCGTCTCGAATCTGGTCTCTGACAATAATCCTGTACATACCGGATTTTTGAAAAGAAGTTCTCCCCTCCCCCAATTTCTCTAAGGTGCTAGGATGCGCTAGAGTTGGAGTGAGTGTGTGGAATCCAACAGTAGGAATAAGGGCAACTGTCTGGCCCACAACAAGTGGGTAGTAGATTAGTTGAGCCCGGACCTTGCGGAATTGTCAGGGACCGACCCGGGGTCGAGAGCATCCGGGTATATCGCCTGGGGCTGAGGGCCCGGTAGGGTGTAGTGCAGGCATGCGTAACAACAGGCCCGAAGCAGGCAAGGGTCCCTGGCCACTTAGGCTAAAGTGGGAAGTGTGTTATTATTATTAGCAGGGGAATGTAAGCTACTTGCCTAAAGTGGGAAGTGTGAGAAGAAGGTTACTTCTCAGTTCCCACTTAGGCTGTGTTTATGTACATGCGGTTGGAGGTCACGTGGGGAGCACCATGTCATCTACATGCACAGCCATGTCCACCCGGGTATCTCTGTAAGAGGTCTCAGGAGTGTCCGGTGTGTAGGGTGTCACCTGGTGTGTCCGGGTCCGGGCGTGTTGCACAGCCTGGTTAATGGTACATCGAGCAAGGAAGTCGTCCATGTAGTAGAAAAGGAAAGAAGAAGGAAGAAGAAGGGAAAGGAAGAAGGAGAGAAGGGAGGAGGGAGGATGGGGGCACCAGGTGAGGGTAGTGGGATCGGGTGGGGTCGGACCAGGTGGAGTGGGGTCAGGTGGGTGTGCCCTGACAGGAATCCCAGAGAACCCACATGGAGTTTAAGGATCGAGAGCATAGCGAGTTTAGTCAAGAAAGTAGGATTTTGGAGAGTTTGGCCCCCATGAGCTTAGTCGGCATAGAGAGCCACGAGCCCTCCTGCAATGCTCCGGACTTCGCTGGTACTTGGATACACTGGTATGACTTCTTCCTGCAATGGTAGTGACACCGGATGGCATACTGACCCGAATAATCCCATGCTTGGCCCTGATGGGAATCTGTGTGATGCTGCCGAACAGCCAGGTCAATTTGTGTACAGTCCATCAGATGAAGTACCATGCATCTCCAGTCCACAAGGAGATATTATCAATAGTGACTTACCAGGATTTCTGCAAGGGGCTCAGGATACTGGGAGACCAAAGCACACTGTGAAGCTGGTGACACAAGAAAATCCTCTTGATGTCTTTCAGCGACAAAAACTTGCTGCAAAAACAAGGGCTGGCACTTCAGCAAATTCCAATCAACCAGGCAGCAGTGGAAATGCATCCCAAGCAACACTGCAATCATTATCCAAGTTCGGGCTCAATCCGAATAACAAGAAACTGTCGGCCTACCATGGTAACACCAGAAAGAGACAGAAAAATGTTTTGTCCCATGCACTGTCAACCACTGAGTCTGATGCTGATGTCTCCGACAGTCAGACTGAGCCTCACAACATTCCCCAGAAGCGTAGGAAGCAACACAGGAAAGGCCAAGCCCACAAGAGAGCCCAAGCTCATGTCAAGGGAGCAGACAGCATGAGGTCTCAGAATAAAAATGCGGATGATGAAGCTCAGAGCAAAGGAAGTGAGGGAGATGACAAAGTCGATGATGCTCCAGGTGCTAAGGAAAGCACAGATGTATTCAGAGAGCAGGACGCACTTGTTGTGCAGGTGTTTCTTGAGTCCAAGAAAATGTGCAGACTGCGTGATTTATCATCAGTATTTACTGACTTGGTGGAGATTGAAGGGAAAACTGTCTGTGTCTGCCAAGTGTGCCAGTAAGTGTGAATAAATCATCCTTAAAGCAAATACTTATTTTCCTAGAGCCGCTTATGAACGTGGTTCTCACATGAAAGATTTGAAGATTTGTTTCTCTGCAAACTCAGGCTCAAGTACGCTGCAAGAGGGCTAGCGGCTCTCTATGCCGACTAAGCTCATGGGGCCAAACTCTCCAAAACCTCTACTCTCTCTCTAAACTTTGCTCGACTCTCGATCCTTAACTCCATGGTGGGTTCTCCGGGATTTCCGCAAGGTCCGGGCTCAACTAATCTACTACCCACTCATTGTGGGCTAGACAGTTGCCCTTATTCCTACTGTTGGATTCCACACACTCACACCCACTCTAGCGCATCCTAGCACCTTAGAGAATTTGGGGGAGGGGAGAATTTTCTTTCCAAAATCCAGTATGTACAGGATATAAGGAACAATTATTTTTAGAAATAATTGATGGTGAATATTGGTACCATATGGCACCTGCATACCTTATTAGGCGAAATAATAAAAAAAGGGTAACAGTATCAATAAAAGAATATTGATCAATAACTGAAATGATGCAAAAATATGAAAATATAAGAAAATAAGCGATATCTCAACGGATTTACGGAATTAAAGGCCAAAATTGGAAATGAAGCCGGAGATAACTCTCACGCAGCCAATGAGCATTTCTACCAATTTATTAGACGCTGTGGGAACGAGTGAGGCTGGAATTCTGGGTTGCTGCTTGAGATTCCCACACCCGCACATGCCCGTGCCTAACTTGCCCAACATAGAACTCCATCAATTCTCCACCGATTGGGACGTTCTTGATATCGTCAGAATCGCACGAATTAGGACTATTTTTAGATACCGAATCCGTATCGAGTTGTTGTGTGAATGGAAGTGGTTTTATGGTCGTGAAATCGGGTATCCAAGCCGGCTCTGCACATGGGCGATTATCCTGCCTACAACACTCCGAACACACATAAGCCATATGGGTGGTGAACACTGGGAACTCTACCTCCGGCATTGCATTGAACTAGACATATCACCAGATAGAAGAGCTATCCCAGAAGGAGTGCAGGAGCAACGGAAGCAAGTTCTCCTGGCAGAGAAGTTTGTATTCATTGCAAATCAATAATATCATCAAATGTTGATGCAATGCTGGTGTCAATGGTAGACAAAGCCAGCAATGAATAACAAACTTCTACCCACCTGCGAATGCTCCAGACGCTGAGATGTGGTCCTCGGAGGGTATGCTCCACCTAGTGGAAAATCTCATAATTGAGCATGACCTTGTAAGTTTCTCATCTGCATGTTGCAAATCAGCAACCTGACATGAACCATAAAGGGCTTTGACTTCGTAGACTCACATTCCTTCCGGGATCTCATGTCCTACCATGCACAGGCAGGGCTAGACAGTGGGCCAAAGTACAAGGACAGCAACTTACTGCATCGCATGAAAATGGAGACACTCATTCTGGATCGTTCTGTTATAATCGCGGCATTGCAGCCCGATCCTCTGAGCACGATATCACAGTGTCATTAGATTATTATCATCCAGCTCTACACATCGTACTTATATACATTTCTGTGTGGTGCAAATGAACAAAGGCTAAAGTGTTAGGACAACGAAACTTCCCATAAAAGGGAACAATAACCGTAACAACAAGGGCATCGGAATGCCACTTCAACACGTTCCACACAGGTTAGGGCCTTACTGAAGGACCAGCTTAAGGTACGCCCACCTTAGACTCTCAATCAGTAGTTTTCAGAGCCACATTCCACCCAGAACACCAGCGGACTCATTCATTTCACCTTTGATGTGTGGACTTCCGCAACAATGAAGGGGTTCCTTGGTATCACCTGCCATTTCCTTGACAACAACTGGAAGATGCATTCTCACCTCATGTCCTTTTGAGCTGGATGGTCCACATACTGGGGACAACATTGGTCAGCAGTTGTTGAAGGAAATTAAAAAAATGATCCCCACACCAAAGGCCCGCACCCTATCACTCCCCCATCCCCCCAAAAATTTAAGGACTGTATACATAGATTGGGTATATTGCTTCAGACAATGCATCAACAAATGACGTTGCAATGTGTGTGATCAGCGAGATTCTCAGCGAAGATGATAACATTAAGTGGGATCCAGCGCGGCATCGTGTCCGGTGAGTGGCCAGTTAATGTTATTGCTTGATCCAATGTTAAAAGCTGAGCAGGTGTATGGGCCACATTGTTAATTTGGCCATTGGCGCTGTTATATGTGTGCTTGCTGGTGGTACATCCGAATTTGGGGAGGTAGCAGATGGGGAAGATACTGGAGATGTTAATATACTGAGTTTTGCCGGACTGGAGCTACCGAATGACCGGGAGCATTTGGTTGGTCCCCTTTTGGCCCGTGTCCGGGCCTTGATTGTGCGGGTACATGAAAACCAATTCAACCACGATAATATTTCACCTGTTTCTACTCCTAGATTCGAAAGTCCTCTGGTGCAAAACTGAAAGGTTTCTTACTAGTTTGGGGACGGTAATGTTCCGTTCCCCCATTCGCCTCAGGCCTCAGAAGTCCATCTAAGTATACGCTTGAGTTTGCTGTATATTAACGGGGTAGAAGTAAAGGCTGATCTGCCTTTTACAGCTACCCCGAGGGTTTATATACAATCTAATACATTCTCGGCACAAATAAATAGAGAAGCTTCCGCGACACTAAATTAGCGTTGCGACATAATTATTACACAACACAACATCAACTGATGTTGTGGGCAGAATATAGACATGGGCCGGGGCCTCACATCCTCCTCCCTTGCGATATTAAATCGCAGACAGGGTACAAGCATATATACACAAGAGGAAAGCAAGCAGTTTTAAAGAAATAAAATTTTAACGTTCTACATACGAAAGATGTATGCAAACAGGGGCACACTCATTGCAGGAGGCTATAATAGTAGTTTGTAGGCGAGGCCCACTTAGAGTTTCTCCTGGAACATATGCACCCAGGTCTCGACGACAGTGTTGTCAACGATGGAACGACTTTCTCGTCGTTGTGAGTTTATTAAATACCATCGTCCACCGTGACAATGTTGACAGTGCAGGTCATTGACGGCAGTGTTGTCGCCGACGAAGAAATTGAATACTCAACGACGTTGTCGTTGGCGAAAGATGAAGGGTACAGAATATACAATCAACAACAGCGTTGTCGTTGACGAAGGTAAGAAGTTATTAATCAACGACGGCCTTGTCGTTGACGAAAGTGAGTAATCAACGACGGCATTGTCGTTGATGAAGGTATGGATATGAGGGCTCAGTTCCTCATTCGTTTACGCAGTGCGGACCCGGATGGGCCAGAGCCGGACGGGCGATTCGATGTAGTCCTACGAGTCGTCGTGGACCTAGCTGCATCGACAGCAACATCGTCGCTGAGATAGTTGTCGTTGTAGTGACGAGTCTCGACATCAGCGTCGTTCATGGACGAATCCTCGTCTTGTCGACGGTGCGAGTAATGGACATGGTGCGCAGGATGGCCGCATCCATGAGAAGAGGAGGGAGCATGCCCTCACACTGGTGGTGCGTGGGCGGATTCATACACCGACGAGTGTGCATACGTCGGAGGGGGGTATTGCGGCGGAGGTGGGGCGTTCGAATACGCCACAGGGTGTGGGTTCGCATACATCATAGGTGGGTTTGAGTACGATGTTGGGGGAGGGTTCGAGTACATAAGTGCTCATTCCTGACGTTGAATTTTACGACGCTCGCGAGCGTCGTCAGTCATTGGTTTTATCCATCGACACGCAAGGATGTACATCCGTGCAATACGAGCCGGGGGGTACTGGTTGGAAAGTCTTTTCGCCTCCGTCTCAATATCATCGTGCGACATACGCATTCGTGAGGCACGGTTGTTTGTAGCCACCCTGTACCAGTCGGTACAGGTGTCAACGTCCTCTTGCGAGGGCTTGCCTGTCTTGAACGACCAGGCAAGATGGTACATTGTAGCATAGAACCTCACACCTTCTTTGGTGTGTATGTAGTTTTGAACCAACTTGAACCACTTAGGTTCTTTGTCACAGACGAGCGCAGCTGCGTCTGGGAATTCAATTCTATCGACATGGTCGATGTCGTAGAAGTGGGTAGGAAGGGCCACCGATCGACAATATGTCAGTGGGGGTAGGGGTTCGCCATGCACTTCAGTGAGTTTGGCATCGTAGTACTCATAGTAGTGGTAGCCGGGTGGACGGTTCGCGACGAATTCTTTGAAGGGGGCATCAGGGTCGACGACCCATTCGCCTTCCATCTCATCATCGTCGGACGTGGGGGCCCATCTCTTGGAAGAGGTGGTTTTTTTCGACGGTGCAGACTTGGCCGACGCAAGATCCACCGGGCCAACCCCAGGGATAACGATGGTTTGGGGAACAGTGGGCCGTGACGATGAGGGAGCAGAAGATTGGATCAGGGCGGGTTTAGGAGATGCAGGGCATCCCCTTGCCGTGCGTGCGACTCTAAAGACGTCCTCGTTGAGTTCGTCGTTGGCCTTTTGGAGGGATTCGACCTGTTGATGAAGACGGTCATTTTCAGAATGCAGGTCATCAGCCTTGTTCTGCAGCATCTCATACTTATTCCTGAGCTCATCGAGCTCATCATTCCTACGTTCATCTTTGAACGTAGTCTCTTTACGTTTCTCGAGTTTCTTCTCGATATGGGCCCACACAACTTCTGTAATCATTTCGAGTTGATCGAGCCCTGTCTGCGTGGAACGTGGCAGGTGGGGGTATTTCTCACTCACGCTTGCGCGAGTGGGCAGGACCAAATGGTCCTGTTTTGGGGTTAAAACACCCGTGCTGGGCGCTTCCGGTGTGACAGTCTGTGTCATATCCATCCCTGGCCATCGACTTCCGGTTCCTCCGATCCCTCCGGTCCAACTCCGCTCCTCCCTCACTAACCTCGGAGCCCCCGTATTCCGCAACCCTCTCGGTACCCCTCGATGGTCACCACCCCCTCATTTCAATTTATTACCTACGCCTCCCTAAGTACGGAGCCCCGAAGACTTCCGGACAGCTCTGACGTCCGCTAGCGCACCCCCGCCTCCGCTGGGCAATACACTCACCTGCCCTGCAGAGCCCACCTTCGGGCCTATCCCTCCTTTCCGTTTCTGGGTTATCG